TGAATTTCTCAATTATTTGTTAATTATCTTTCCTTTTGCTTACTTTGTAATATTTTTAAAGGAATAATTTTATAATATGGCTGTGTAATCAAATAACATGCATCTTTTGAGTGTTCATAATGACAATATTAATGTTACAACAGTAAATAAATGTAAAAGCATGTCAGGTTTTGTGTAGCAATTCCCAGTTTTAGACTTTTCACACATTGTATACATGTCACCGTTCTCCAAAATGCTGTTGAAATTAGGTAAAAGTTAACTTTTGACAAATATATGAGACATAAAGATGTTTACTTAATTTAGGTAGAGTGAGCCTAATAGACATAATGGAAAACTCAGAAAATCTCAGAGACATGACAATGGACAATGCCTTTCATGAGGAAATACTTCTTTCTAAAATTGTTGTTTCCTTACCAGTTACCAGATTACATATACTTTATATGAGATAAACAGCAGGAAAGAAAGAACAATGAAATATACGAGGCTTTTTATAATTGTATGTTAAACTGAGTGATAGTAATCACAAACAATTTTACAGAAGTGGAAAATTTTTATGGATTGAATCAGTGGCGACATCTTTGTGGAGCAGAGAGGCATTTGATTTTGTAGAACATATGGTGATTTGCATAAGTAAAGATCAGGGAAGTACTGTATCAGTAAATGTAGAAAATAATTAATGGGTACATGAGGAAGTCAGTGAAGGAACTAGTTTGGGACATATGAGCTGTGGAGTAGAGAAAATATAGATCAATAGGCACATAATGGGATTAAAGGTGTACTCATGAAGTAATACATCTGCAGATAAAAAGTACCTTTATATTATGTGTAACTGATTTGATCTTCAAGGACAACTTCAAGGCAGTGGGAATAGGTAATTTTACTCTAGTGCCTTAAATACATTTATTTTAAAGGTTGGTCAAAGCAATGTTTATTCTCTTGAGTTCTATCTCTCTCTGCTCCTCTCCAAGGTGATGTGGAATATTGACTTCTCTGTGCTATTAACAGCAGAAGAGAAAGAGTATCTGAAAACCTCACAGAGTCTTTGTTGCCTGATCTCTGCTGTGGAGTCACTGGTCTGATCTACTCTGTGAACTGGTAACCACTAAGACATAAATGGTCTTGATCACAAGCCCTTTCCAGGGGTTTTCTGCTGAATCTGTGAATATTGAAATCTGTGGACTTGTAACTTTACACAGGACTAATGCAATCCATGGCTGATTGGGTCTTGCTTTAGTTGTCACATGTTCTAGGCATTAGCCAGCTCTTTCCCATGTTGTAGGCAGTCACTGCTTCCGGTCTCCTAGCCTAGGCTCCTTCATATGATCCTTGTCTTAGCTGGCCTCATGCACTTCTGGTGGTTTTAATTTCTGCTATTTTCTGTATTATTAATTGGAAGCATTTAGGAAACTTTGGGTCTTATTCATGCCAAAGAATTTGATGGTGATTCCTAAAAATGATTTAGTAGTTGCCTTCACTCTACATAATGATTCTATACTGCCAAATTAACTTTGAGATAATTATAAAGAACCTATCCCAGGTCACCATTAAGAATGAAATGTTATTTCTTCATAGATTCAAATTACACTGAGGCAAAATTTTCATGTTCTCTATATTCCCTTCATTTCACCTAAAACTTTCCTTCAACCAAAAGCAAGAGAGTGGAGAGACAAAACACATCAATCTGTCTTTACTAGTTCTCTCTCTGTTTTTCTCCCCACAGTTCCTTTGGTGAGAATGGACACAATAGCTCCCTCCCACTTCCCGTATTCTGAGGAACTTTCTTGTATTAATTTCATGTTAGGTCATCAAAGTTGACCCTAATATATTAATCACAATTAGTGATTAAATTCATCTTCCAGGTAAAAACTTTAAAGATCATGTCTTGCTTCATAGTTCTATTTATAAAGTTAGTGCTGTGTTAATTACTTCTTTTTATTTCATTCCCAGTTTAACAATTCTACTGACTTCTCTACCTCCCTCCATTTCTCTCTCCCTGATTCCAAAGCAGACAGACATCTTTAATTAATGGCAAAAATATGTACACAAAATATGGAAGATAAAAACACAATGATATATTTAAAATATTATTCAAGTTGCAAGATATTACTGTTAGGGTAACCTAGGTAGAAGATATGCAAGATCTCTTATTCCCTACAATTGTATGTGTATCTACAATGATCTTAAAATAAACCATCTCAGGACACCTGGGTGGCTCAGTCAGTTAAGCATCTGACTTCAACTCAGGTCACGATTTCAGTTTGTGAGTTTGAGCCCCACATCAGGCTCGCAGCTGTCAGCACAGAGCCTGCTTTGGATCCTCTGTCTCCCTCTTTCTCTGCCCCTCCTCCACTTCTTCTTCATATATATATATATATATATATATATATATATATGTGTGTGTATATACATATACATGTATATATGTATGTATATATATGTACATATATATGTACATATATACATATATGTGTGTGTACACACATACCATCTCAATTGATACAGAAAAAGTATTTAACAAAATTTAACATCCTTTCATAATAAAACACTCAATAGACTAGGAATAGAAGAAAACTAAGTCAATATAATAAAAGCCATACATGAAAAGCTGAAGAACTTTAATGCTGAAGAACTGAAAGCTTTTATATAAGGCAAGGATAAGATAAGGATGCCCACTGTCACTGCTTCTATTCAATACAGTTCTACAAGTTCTATCCTGAGCAATTTGGCAAGAGAAAGAAATAAAAGACATCAAAATTGAAAGGAAAGATATACAATTATCTCTGTTTGCAGAGTATTGTAGGTATTATATGTTGAAACCCTTAAAGATTTCACCAAAAAAAAAAAAAAAAAACACAAAAAACTGTCAGAACAAATGAATTCAGTGAAGTAGTAAAGTAGCAGGACTCAAAATCAACACAAAAAACTAGTTGCATTTCTATACACCAAGAATAAACAATTTGAAAAAAATTTTAAAAAAAGCTCAATTCAGAATAGTATCAAAAAGAATAAGTACTTAAGAATTTATCAAGGAGGTACAAGACTTGCACAGTGATAACCACCAAACATTGTTAAAAGAGACTGAAGACCCAAATAAATGGAAACATATCTCATGTTCATGGATTGGAAGACTTAATATTGCTAAGATGTCAATACTACTAAAACAATCTGCCAATTCAATACAATCCCTATCAAAATCCCAATGATGATTTTTTCAGAAATAAAAACTCCTACCATAAAATTCATATCGAATCTCAAGTGATCCTGCATGGCCTAAACTATCTTAAAAAAGACCAAACCTGGAGGGCCCACGTTTCTTGATTTCAAAACTTACTACAAAACTATAGTAACCAAAACAGTGTGGTACTGGCATAAACATATACATAATTATCAATAGAACAGAATAGAAAACTCAGAAATAAACTCTCAAATATACAGTGAAATGAGTTTTGACAAGGATGCTAAGACCATTCAATGAGGAAAGGACAGTTTTTTCAACAAATGGTTCTGGGAATACTGGATATCCACATGCAAAAGAATGAAGCAGTACTCTTATCTAACAACACATACAAAAATAAACTCCAAGTGGGTCAAAGACATATATATAAGACCTAAAACTATAAACTCTTAGAAGAAAATATAGGGCAAAATTTCATGAGATTGGTATTGGCATTGCTTTCTTGGATATGACATAAAAGGCACAAGCATTAAAATAAAATAGATTGAACTTTACGAAAATTTTTTTTTAAATTATGCATTAAAATACACTATCTACAAAATAAAAAGGCAGACCCCACAAGGGTAGAAAATATTTGCAAATCGTAAAGGATATCCAAGGATATCCAGGATATATAGAGAACTACCAAAACTCAGCAATACCAAAAACCAACCAACCAACCAACCAAACAAACAAAAAACAGATCACTCTATTAAAAAAATGGCAAAGAAATTGAATAAAAACTTCTCGAAAGAGGCCAATAAGCACAATAATAGGATGTTCAACATCACTGAATATAAGGAAATGCAAGTCAAAACTAGAATGAGATTATTACCTCACGCCCAATAAAATGATTCCTGGGAAAACAAAACAAAACAAAAAAAAAAAACAAAACAAAGAACAACAAATATTGGTGAGGATGTGTAGAATTGAAACCCCTGTGCACTGTTGGTAGGATGTACAATGGCACAACCACTGTGGAAAACAGTATGGTAGTTCCTCAAGAATTAAAATAGAATAGCCATATGATTCAGCATTTCCACCTTAGGGTATGTACCCAATAGAATTGAAAGTGGGATCTCAAAGAGATATATGTATACTCGTGTTTATAGGACCATTATTCACAAAAGCTAAACTGTGGAAGCAACCCACGTGTCCATCGGTGGATGGTTCTATAAGAGAATGCTATATATATACATACATATTACATATATATATATATATATATATATACACACACACATATACACATAATACATATATATGTACACATATATATGTATATATGTATATGTACATATGTGTGTGTACATACATACATGTATATATGTATGGAATGGAATATTATTCCACAATGGAATATTATTCCACAGTGGAATATTATTCAGCTTTGAAAATGAAATTATATTTCATATTAAAGTATATGGAAATATTTGTAGCATGTTTTCTTTTTGAAAATCTTGAAAATTACTGGGAGAGTGAAAAAGAATAATTCATAGCCATGTGATCTTCTATATGGGCTTTCTTGTTATATTTTAATTATTTTTATGTATGTATAAATGTACATATGTATATATTTTTACTTAATTGTTTTAGTGTTAACTGGACAGACTGAATCTGAAATTCACTGATGCTTATTGCATTTAAAATGCCTCTTTATATCTCTAAAAGACAAGGATAGCATGAATAACTGTGACCATGAAAATGTTAAAGCATAGATTCCTGAGATGGTTCTTCCAGGGAAGATATTTAATAGTGTGACACAAAAGGCACCATTACATTCATGTTTCTTGCAAGGGAAAATCTATTTTTAACCAAGACCTAATTGAGATGTATAGGATGGAAAGTAATCACTCCACTGTTTCATCATCAGAAAAACTATGGAAGAACACAGAAGTGAGGTAACATGCAGAGGCAGCTACTGAAAGCAGGGTGGAGCTCAGGGGGTGTTATGGGTGTGTCATTGTCACTGAAGAAGCACAGAGGCGGACATTCTCATCACTGCATCTGAAGCAGAGGGAATCTCTAGGAAGAGCTAAAGAAAATTATACAAATAAATTAACAATGGCTATATTTTAAAAGCTTGATCTTTGAATTCAGAATAGGAGGATGTGACTAAAGTGAACTAACAAAAAAGACATGACACAATAAAGGAACCATTTTAATTTTAAAAATGCAGAAAAAAGTCTAGAAACAAGTTTAAGAGACACCAAAAAATGAGAGTAGAAAAAGACAATAAACTTACTTTTGGCACCACTCTTTAAGTATTGAATTATGTTGAGAATAAATTATAAAATATAAAAACTCAGTACATGTGATATTAATGTGTTATATAGCATTAAGCTTAAGATGGGGGGAAAATTGTATATAATTCTCTTATATGTATGCAATAAATCTCAAGTCTTCCTCTACTTTCTATATGAAAGAGAACTTTCATTATATTGCTACAGATCTCTGGGTCCCTAACCCAGAACATTCATCTTATATAGACCAAAGTTTTAAAATACTGTCTCCAAGTTTGAGATATGATTGAAAAATCATCAGGTTACATTTTGAATACCAGAGGTGTATTTTTTTTATTTTTATTTATTTATTTTTTTGACGTAGAAGGTAATATAATTTTTATTTTTTTATTTTTTTCAATATATGAAATTTATTGTCAAATTGGTTTCCAACCAGAGGTGTATTTTATAGGACTTACCAAAGTATGTGTCATCAGAGTAGGTGCTAAAAGGCTCAGCCTACCAAAAATAAATTCCATTTATCTAACTGTGTTAAATTTTTGCTGCTATAATTATTCTTTATACTTAATGCTACGTATTCATAGGAGAACCTATTTAAAAAGCAACTGTATTATTTTGGAAGAAGAAATTGTAACCCATTAATATCCATTAACATATTTTTCCAGACTATTTTTTTATATTAATTAACTTTAGAAACATTAAGGGACCTGAGGAAATAGATGCCAGGTAGGTATGTATTTATGGGGGTTATTGCAAAAAAGGCAAAATTATATCCACCCACCATACAGAGCAGTGCTTGAAAGTCTTGAATAGCTATGGAGCAAAATGGCAAAACAGATGTCATGGAAGAGATGAACTGAAAAAAGATAAAAGGAAAGAAGAAACAAACACTTGACTAATTTCCCAATTTTTCCTAGGGCTAATTCTTACCTATCACTGTTTTTGGGTACCTCATTCCTTGAGTATTAGTATACAGAGTTATGTGAAATCTGAAAAAAAAAATCACCAACAAAATCATAGAGACAGAGCTCATATTTGCGGTTGCCAGAGGTGGGGACAGGGGGATGGGAGAACTGGTTGAAAATGGTGAATAGGTACAAACTTCCAGTTATAAGATAAATTAATTCTGTGTATGTAATACAGTAAAACATATGACTATAGTTAACAATACTATGTTGTATGTTTGAAAGTTGCTAAGACAGTAGATCTTGAAATTCTTGTCACAAGAAAAAAAACTGTTATGTTAGGTAATCATTTAGCACTATATACCTATATCAAATCATTATGTCATACACCTTAAATTTACACAACATTATATGTCAATTATATTTCAGTAGAGTGGAAAAAAGTAAGATATGTAACACTATCATGTTTTTTAACACCTAACTATCTTAATTCATTTTGATCACCTTTCTACATATGGTGAACACCTGTTACATATTGTCACTTCAAATAATATAAAGTAGTTCAAAACTTGTTACTTTAAAAAACAAAGGTATATAGTCTGGTCCTATGAAAAACTCATTAGAAAGAACACGTACTGTAACTTTTTAAAAGTTATTTCTTATGTGAGACTATGTAGTTTAAACAGATTCATTTTGGAAGTCTTTGTTATATTACTAGTGACAAGGGCTGTTATGCAAAAGAATTGAAGGAATTGAAACAACACAAGTCAAATCTTTCACTCAGTGTTTGGTATGCAAGCCAAGTATATAGGGCAAGGTTATATAGATGTCCTGTCTGACTTCTGAAAACTATTTCAAAAGTTTCTCTCTTTCTGATATGTGAAGACTTGAGAATTTGCTGTCCTGGTGCTTTTGACACTAAACTAAGCCAACATTACAGGGAAGTGAACACATCTTTCATCATTGGTTAAGATTAGCTTAAACTGAATCTACAGGGTATCTGTTATAAATACATAACAGGTCATGGCTGAAAAGAGAATAATTTAACCCATTTTACTCACTTTAGGCTGCCCAACTATAATTAATAAAGATATGTTTGCAAGATTTTGAAACAAATATTAGAAAACCAAAACATCTGACTGAGAGTTAAAGCTGTTTAATAAATGAAAATCCACAATGGGAGCTAAAATAAAAATTGAACTTGGAAAAAATAATATTTAATCTCAGTAGATATTTTCAATTTTATAAAATGAATTAATCAAGCTAATGTCCTTTTTAATGTGTTGGGATTAAATTTACTTTTTTCTTATAATCCTAAAAACAAGATCCTTACTGCTTTCATTAACTTCTAGAATAAATACACTTAGAAGTTTATATGTTGCCATATGATACATATGGCAACACTTATAAAAAGAAGAAAATTATCAAATAATAAAGTTGTACATTAAAAAATATGTATAACAAAAAATCTCAAAATATCTTACTCATTTGAGGTTAAGAAGATGAAATGATATAAAAGAAAAAAGGGTTTCCTTTTTGAGTGTCAGAAACAGTAATCATTTTTAAAATTTCTACTTTAGTAATACATGCATTTGCTTGAGAGCCTTATAACTTGTACTTAAAAATTCTAATCCCATTTAATTTTTATTATAAATCCCCTTGAATTATACCCAAGCTAGTACCTCTGTCAGGCTCCCTTCTTAAATTTCTCACTTGAGGAAACAAGAAAAATAACAACAGAACCCAGTGGTATATACTTTTGGGAAAAACTTGAGTTTTTCTTTCTTTTGAAATGTATTTTTCACACGTTTTACAAAGCCTTGTGAAGTGGCTGTCATTTGAACTGTGTTTCTTTATCCTTTGGTATTGGTGCCTGAAGAAAGAGCTTCAAGAATAAAATGATAAAAAATAAAAGATTCTCCCAAAGATTTGATATCTTTAAATACTCCCAATTCTCTTATGGCTACAAATCGTAGTTCCAATATGTAGTTGCTGTCTTCTACTCTCACAATTGTCTTTAGGTATTGAGATACTGAATGTAAATGCAAAGTTTCCTATTGTGTTCTTAAACCTTTTTTTTCATAGTTTCTACGGACTGTGCCATCCTTTTGCTGCATGATGTAGCAGCTAGCAACATTTTAGAGTTTGTAATTAAATATTAAAATTATATATAATTAATGTATAATGTATAATAATACAATTAAATATTAAAATTAGATATGTTATATGTACATACATAATGTATATACATACATAATGTATATACATATATAATATAAATACATTAAAGTTTTTTTTTTTTTTTTTTTTTTGAGATCAACAGTGAGTAGGGGAGGGGCAGAAAGAGAGGGAGGGAGAGAATCCCAAACAGGGTTAGCACTGTCAGTGTGGGACACGGGGCTCAAACCCACAAACCATGAGATCATGACCTGAGCCAAAATCAGGAGTCAGACGCCCAACCGACTGAGCCACCCAGGCGCCCCTAAAATTATATTTTTTTAATGAAAAGAGACATGTTCCATCATCAGCAGTGCTTATAAAGAACTTGTTATATTTAAATGAGGGAATAATGGTTAATATATTGAAATGTTTTGCTAATCTTCAACCTCAAATTGATAAATTTATCATAGGTAATAGATCACTTGAGAAATACATATTTTAAACATATTATGACATTTAAAACATGTTTGACCAACTCTAGTACCTTAGGAAACAGGTAGGTAAAAACTGGGTGCAGAAATTATTCATAATGGAAGCATGGTATTTAAGTGTGGCAGCATCACTGGGGGTCGGGCACTAGCAGTCTAGTGCCAAGTGGGAATCAAATGTCTCATATGAGCAGTTGCAATGACTAGTTTCTGATTCTGGATACCGATCCCTTTCTCTTTGGGAGTTGCTGTGGTTGACGCTTGTTATTTATTTATTGACTTGGATGAACTTAATTCAGTGAAGTCTATTTTTCCCCACAGTGTGAAACCTTTGATGCCAATCCTCACAGAGGACAGTCTTTTCACACTAACCATGGAATGACAGTGTTTTTTAGCAGAGTGTTGTCTCTTTCCTTGATCTTTCTGTTATGTTGTCTACTTCTGTTGGTATCACATCCAACTGTTAAGACTCCACTAATTGCCAGCTGAGCACTCTACTGTTTTTGACATAATTTGGACTCAGGTTAAAATAGGTGCCTTTGCATGTGTATTTGCATGTGTATTTGCATGTGTATTTGCATGTGTGAGTCCCTCACACAATTTTTCTTCTGACCACAGGGGGAGTCTTTTTAGCTGTCTCTTTTCCTAGTTCTCTTTTGGTACACTAGTAGCTTGTGATTAATTTGTTGCTGTCATGAAACTAGCAGCTTTATCTTCATGGCTTATCGTCAAAATCTACACTTTTTCCCCCCTTTCTTTATAACATCCTTATGCTTGAACTTTCCCAAACTATGTCCCAAAAATACAGTTCCCTGGAGGAGAGTTCTGGTGTTCTCTGTTCTTCTAGCTTGCCTCTTTCTCTGAGCAAAAAAAATCTCTGAGTTTCTGTTCTGGAGCTGAGGGTAGGGACAGTGGCTCACTTCTCTTGGAATGACTGGGTGTTATACAGAGGTGGTTAAGCCTGGTCTTCTCCTCCTGCATCTCTCAAGGTGGAACCTGTACACTGTAAGTGAGCTGGGGTGAGGGAAATTGGGGCCAAAGTATTTGCCCCTGCCACACCTGGGTAAGACGCTCACCCTACAAATTGGGGTAGGGTGGGAGAAAGTGGCCCCCAACTTATCAGCTGCAGTTGACTGAAGTTCACCCTGTGCAATTTCATCCTTCTGCAGTTAGCCAATGGTGGGGAAGGATGGAAAATGTCTGACTGTCTCAGAGAGATACCACAGCCCTTAACTAGGAGCTGGGAGAACATAGGCCCCAAGGGCTATGAGGTCTAGTAGATTTTTTTTTTTTTTTGAAAACAGTTTCTTCATTTTCTCCATGTTCTTAGGAAAATTTGCAGAAACTTTACAAGGTCACTTATTTTGTAATTTTTATCTGTTATGGTTATTCTGCTAAGATAAAGGCCATAGAGCTCCTCACACAGTTGTTCTGGAGTAGAGCTCCCTCCAAAGCCATTTTTATCACAGGACACTAATTATTTGTAATTCTGAAAAATACCACAAAGTTTGAAAGAGTTTCTAAGTTTTATAACAAAAATTTAAATGCTCAAAAATATGGCTCAAATTATAGTATATTTTTTGACATGGCACATTTTGAACGCATAGTATAAACATATATGAGTGTGCTTATCAAGGAAAAAAGAAATATAATCTTTCAGTTAATCAGTGAGGCATCTGACAGGCATTTCTATTGCTTCAAATTCATTTCTGAAATGAACTACTTGCACCAAAATCTTGATATTTTTAGTATGGGCTTTGAAAATATTGATGTTAATATTAAAAAAAAAAAAAAACACCACCTGTTGGGATTATGATAGTAGTCCTATATGAGGGAAATGGTCTTCTATAACATTCTTGTTATTTTCCACATGTTGATTTGACTTAGTTTATCACAGGTACTTTCTCTAGAATTGTATCACCCTGAAGTAGTTCAACATGCCATCCCCAAATATGCCCCTATGATAGGTTGGTAATTTGGAGCTAAACACACTTGAAAAGCAGTAAATGCAGGAAGAGCCTTTCTCTGAACTCCCCTGATCTGCCTGAAAACCAGATGCTCCAAAGGGAACTCAATTGTCTGAAATCCCCTCCCCAAGAGTATCATCTAGCCAGATGAACCCCTTCTCTCAGGAGAGGGGACTAGAAGCGCACACAGCACCCAGACAAACTTAGTCACAAACCATCATACCTTCCATCTGCTGGAGAAGTTCAGGGCAGCTATTCTTGACAAAGGTCCATATGTGAGAGGAGCAGAAAAATTTGAACCCAAGAGTCCCTCACACAGATGTACTTGTCTGCCTAGGATTTCAGGGGAAGTTAGGGTTTAGTTTCCTTTTCAAAGCTGCCTGACCGAAAGGTGTTGGGGAGGGGTTTGAGGAGCAGTCCAAAGCGGGAGGCCTCAACACAGTCCTCCAGAACGGCCCCTCCCACCCTGCAGCGTCCAGGGCTCAGGGGAAGGACTTCCCCATATATTCTGCGCGGTACGGAGTTGCTTCTTAATGCCATTATTTTGGGTGTGTGTGACAGGAGAGGAAAGTGGCTGTCTGGCCTCTTCCTCCTTTTCCCATTCCCCCAAAAGGGAGCCCCAAGCTGGCCCTCCCCTGTCTGGCACACAGAGCCACCGCTGATTCCTCCCTTCACCCCTCTGGGCGCTCCAATGCCGCACTGCCACCTGTCCCCCACTCTCCTTACAGGCTCCTGTCCACCCAGCTTAATAAAATGGTTTGGAAGAAAGAAAGAA